AAGTTTCAATGAACAGCAGATTAACAATTTACCGCGTTTAACTTGTTTTCCAGTCTCCTTTTACGAGCGAGAGCCATAGCGGCCCAGGTATCAGCTCTGTCGGGCTGGACAGATACATCGTGCATGTAGAACTTGAGGGCTTTGCTGGAAAGAACAGAAATGATGATAGTTTGACATCCACTACAACTTTCATAGTCACTTTAAGCTAGGCAGCTTTGGTTTTCAGAGAACTATATCTAAAAAGGCAAACATCATGATTCTTTTTGTTTCAATTTATATTCCTGACTTTACTGACTTTAAAATCACTCAATCCAAACTCTTCAACTAACCTCGCAGTAGCCCTGCGCTTGGCTTGGCTCACCTAAAATGCGCCAAAATATTTCGCATTTTCCGCGGCCTTCAACTAACCAAGAATTGGTATTTTAGTAAAATCTGTTTTTAACTCTAGTGTGGCGTCAAGTTTACACTACCCACCTAAATTCTTTGTTCTTGAAGTAGAAATCAGCGAGGAGATAAAATATTTCATTTATCACAGGTCTGTGGAGAAAAGAAAAAAAAAAAGCGGTACATATAAGTCAGCTTAGCACACTGAAGAATTACAGAGATCAGAAAAGAGTACATTGCTCACCTTTTAACGCCTACGAGACGATCAGGCAACTTGGGGATTGGCTCATCTCCGCCCTCAATAAACGACTGGACGCTTTCAAAGCTGATAGCTGTTGAAAAAAATTTAAATCCCACAATGCGAATTGAGAACATCCCGACGGCAATTACACGAAATGACTACTGTGAGAGCTAATTGACTCTAAAAAGAGATAGAGGTTCGCGCACAGATAGACCTAGAGACAGGTAAAACAAAAAACAAGGTAATATAGCCTGGCAAACAGCCTGGCAAACAAAAAGACAGACTGAAAACCTGGCAGACTGACTATATGACGATGAGACTCGTTGTAAACAAAGACACAGGGACATCAACATTAAACCATCCAAAATATGAAGATAAAAAGGCCAAGAGGAGTAATGGGAGGATAAAATTCGTGCCAAGTTCTGATCAAACAGTAGGATTTCACACTTGAAAGGCAGATTAATGTTTTAAAAGAGGACAAACCTTCAAGTTCCTGCTGTGGGATTACCAACGTTATTCTGCGGAGGAGATTCTGTACCTGTAACAAACCAGGCACGTCCAGCATTACAGACAGGGTCAACTACTTTGTGGTCAGCGATTCATCTAACCAAACATACTTTTGCGCATGAAATTGCTGGGCAGCATTTGCAAATTGGTAAATGACATGTAAAGTTTTTCGTCTTTATAGCGAACACCCACGTGACCGTAATTTTCGCGTAGCATAACGCCGCGTCACATTAGCCACGAATGATATGATAGTAATGATAACAAGTAAAGAAAATAATCCTTGTAGATGAGCCGCAGTTAACCCTTTAAATCCTAAGATCGGTGGGCATATTCTCTCTACTGTTTTCGATACAATTCCAACGGTACTGACAAGGAGAATTTCTTCAACAATCAAGAGCCTCTCTGATGGGTGATCATTTCCCCTTAGTCTCATGGCCTTAATGTTTGATTCATCAGTGATATTGTAAGGAGGAATAACATGCCGATAACTCTTAGGGGTTAAAAGATCAGAGAAATCGCAAGAAGAAGCCTGAAATATCCAGGCTTCGACGGGATTCGAACCCAAGCCTCCCAGAGAGCAAATTGGCGCGTCTACCAACTGAGCTACGATGCCACACATTTGGAGCGAGAAGTTAGTCCATTGTTTCCGTATAAGAGTCTCACAAATATATTGCTTACAAAAAAGACAATAGATAAAATAGAAATGATAATACGAGGAGCGATCAGTGATCGTGTTACCTCTGCCGAGATAGTGTTGGATTTACTGTCAAACGTGGGAGGCTGTGGGGGCTTGAAGTAATCAAATACTCCGACTGAGTTGCTCCACGTCAGCGCGATCTGAACCAGCAACAAAAACAAAAAATAATTAATAAACTGCCCAATTCAATTAGTGTGAGGCTTCTTCTTTCTCTTCCCAATTTCCCCCCTTGAGGGTTATGAAGGGAAGAGAAATGAAAGGGCAAAGAGGAAAGAGGACCAATTCTTTCTTTCGAAACAAGAAAAACAAACGGGCAGGAGATTCAAAACCATACCTGAGAGGAATTGTGTTCCTGTAAGCCACGAGCCTTGAGAAAAAGAAACAATGTTAGTAGTTGTATCTTAGTACCGCTCGAAATTGAAACGAGAATAGATTGGCACGTAAAACAAAAGCTTGGGACAAGATCCATTGCAAATCAGAAGTTTCAGTAAATACAGAAGCCTTGAGTTATTGCAGATTGTGAAGCACTTCGTCTGCAATCATTAACAAAGGTACCTCAGACGCTGAGTTGAAAATAGTTCCTTGACAAAGTTCTTTTATTTTAAAAGTTCTTAATCGATTTGTAAGCGCCCCTTTCCCTAAACGATATCGAGAGGGGAAGCGAGCTGCCAAGTAAGGGTAAAAAGTTAACATTCCAAAACGTGTGTCACTGATTGAAGGCTAACAGGCCGCCACACTGCAACACAAGGAACCTTACGCTAGTAGACAAAAATTCGTCAAAACGAAAGTTTCACACCTTCGCTTTCTTAGAAGGATGCCCATAAAGACAAAGGAAACACTGCTCAAGATCACGAACCATCTCCTGTAAAAAACAAACAAACGGACACCTATATATGAAAATCAAGCATTTCGATTTATTCTCCTGAGTTACATTGCTGAAAAATAAGACCTAACAATGCAAAACCAATCACACGAGCCGGGAAGGTGCTAAGAGCCAATAAGAACTTGATAAATAAACACGTGACGAGGTGAAAGCGGGAAAACAAATGGGGTCACCTCAAATCATGATCATCTTGGTCTTGCGACTGATAAGCCCACTAAACGTGTTTAGGTAATAGATAGAACAAACCTCTCTGGCGGGAACCGTCGCTTTGGCAAGCTCCTTTGTCAGAACCTCCACTTTAAGCAACAGAAAAACTCCCTCGTTATTACAACACCAGCCACGTCTTAAAGAAGAGGAAAGATAATCGCAGTTTGAGGAGAAATAGACAGATAACTGTTGAATTAAATAACATTTAAAAAGACTTCCACCGAAGGTATGTCTCGGAGTGACCGATGATTATGCTTTTGCTGAGATGACACCAGAAGATATCGAGGTATACCTTCCTACCTTATGAAACACTTCCCTGTGACTACAGATTGTCTTCCTTACCTGCCGAGATGTTCATGTGCTATGCGCAGAAACTGTAGCGATGGAGATAGGTTACTTGCAGGCACCTCACGTATCACATCACCGCTGCTCATATTGCTGTCAGTGTTTAGTGTTTCAGGCATTGGGGAGTCTTCAGGCGGAGGAACAGTCGGAGGTGCACATGTCTTTGACGAACTGTCCACTGTCTCATTGTACTTCTCTTGACTGAAAGTGAGAAATCAAGATAATTATGCAGTATAGTAAAGCTGCAGTGTGTATTACTCATGCTACCCATTTTTCTGTAAAGCTGAATCAATCTAAACTTACTGTTCAGTGATTTTGTAGAGTAGTACCCAAGGTTTCGCAGTTGCTAACGGTGGATCAGAACTACTGTCGGAAGAGTTCATGGATGCCTCTAGAACCTGAAAGCAAAGAGACGAACATAGTGTTTTTACGTCTTGGAACAAATCACCACAAGGTGCGTTGCGTGAACAGGGTTTATACTCTTTCCAAATCATAACATTCTATGACTTTCTCTAATCTTTCTCGAAGACCTTCTTGACCTACAAGTACTCAAGACACTATAACCTTCGACCTTTTGACCCCTTAGACTGACTGGCATCTAACTTCTCCTAACACACATTGAAGTCACGAGAATAACGGAAGTCCTTTATCGTTCAACAAATTCTCCCTGTCAGCACCATAAGAAATGTGTAGAGATCAGTATGGAGAATATGCATAATGATGTTAGGGTGTAAGGGGGGTTAAGTATCTCTCTACCTTGACGATGTTGTTAGTCAGTCTACACAGTTTATCCTGAGGAATCTTGTCCAGTATGTTATCACCTTCCTGAATACTCCTTTAAGGAAGAAACCAAGAGAAATTGCACACTTTTTCGTCGCATGCTAAACGTAAACACGCTACGATCTCCACTCCAAGAACGATACTCAATACAACAAATTACATCTTAGCTTGGAAAATACAAGTTACGGATTCTAATCAACTACTCTGTTCTACTGGATAAAAACGTTTACACATTTCTAACGAACAGAATTTGTTCTTGATATAATAGAACAAACAAAACGACAACATATTCTTCTGGAGGTATATTATAACCGCCTAGTTCTGAGGGCTTCGTTTTTCATCTGAACAACACGCTCTGGTTGAAGATTTTCGTACGTTCTCTTGACTTTCTGCTCTAAAGTGTAATGGAAATGTTGGGAGATTCATAAGCTGATTACTTTGGAAAGTCAGAGTCAATCACAGGCATGGTGCCAGACCTCACCTATCAATGCAACCAAAGAGCCTGGAGAGAGTTGTGGACCAGGCCTCGCAAGGACTCATCTGTGACACGGCCTCGTTCAGGGCTATCTCGGAACACGTGAGACACCGCTAAAAAAGCATATTGAACATGTGAGGCATTGGTAACAAAACACAATGAACATGTGATGCAAAAAAAAAAAAAAAAATGAACAGGTGAGACTTTGCTGACTAAACTCTGGAAAAAAATTGTATGAGCTGTTGAAAAGTGACACAGTGACTCCAGTGACTCCACTGATGACGTTGAACATATTACTTTGGTGGTAATCCAAGGAGGGGAGGAGGTGGGGTGGCTAAAAGGAGAGGGTGAAGCAGACACAGGTTGCAACTTGAATATTAGGGCTTTTGCCTTGAATACGTGTACATACGAATGTAAAATTAAAAGACGGCAAAAGTTTTAAAGAATTTACACTCACTAAGAGTCACCTTGATCACGTGCCTAAACCATAAAACAAAGTTTCGTCATGAAGAGAGAGTTTTTGAACTGTACTTATAGAAATTCCTGTTTAATATCGTGAAGTGCAAACTCAGTTGCGAACCCACAAAGAGCAGAGGAGTTAGGTCACCTTATAAAATTGACTAAGTGATTGTGTGCAATTATGTCAGACAAAAACATTGGTCTCATACCAAGTTCAGTGACAGGTAAAGGTATTGTAACCACAATGGATTCCACAGCAAACCCTTGATAGACATAATCGTAAAGGTTCACAAACCTCGTAATCCTTGAGCTTAATAAGCGAGTCCTGAAGTAGCAGCAGCTGAGCCGGTCTCTCAGGTATAGACATGCCGAGTTCACCAACCTACCGACGAAGAAAGAGTAAAGTTATGCGAAAACGTAATCCAGTTGTGAACTCAAATTTGTTCCTGTGTCCATTGCAAATTTACGTTAATATAAGATAACTAAAAGTAATCGTTCGATCAGTCTTTTTTGCTAAGTCGATGCTTTCTTCAAATCAGCAGCCGAAACACTCATTTCTTGCTCATTAATGTTATAGCGGATTTCAAAGAAGTGTCACAAAACCCGGAAAAATCAAAAGAATCGCAAGAGCCAATCAGAGGAATTAATTCATCACAAGGAGCCAATAAGATCGCAAAGTAAAACCAAGTAAGCTACTTAAAGCGCGGGAAAACACGACATATACTGTTGGTGATCATACCTTGGTTTTAGGCTGTGGTTGATGGAGTGTGGGCATCAGAAGTTGAACCACATCTTCATAATAACCTGACTCGTACAAACGGTGAACCTGGACACACAATAAGACGAATGATATGATTCATTGGATGAAGAGATTGTTCAGTGACAAAGAAATGAGCAAATTAAACAACAAGTGAAACAAAATCAATATCCCGCTATTGAGCGAATGAAAGAGCGAATGAACCAACAAATTAACTAACAAATGAAAGAAAGAACGAAAGAAAGAAAGAAAGAAAGGACAAAAGAAAAAGATGTAGCGAAGGAAGATAAATGTAAAGTGGACCGGCAGAAATTGATGTCTGAAGCCTCAGTTCTATATAAAGTGATATTAAAAATTGAAAGTAAAACAAAGAATACTGATTGTACTAAGACAGATAGATTCTCTTAAAGTATTTATTTCTAAGAAATGAAAGAAAAGAAAAAATACATGAAAAGATAATTAAGTAAGAATTTATGTGCGCCTCTTTTTTGGCTTCGTGTCTCCTGCACTAATGATACACATTGCGAACATACCTCTTCTAATGATTGACACCTTTGTAGCGATTCTAACTTCTTCTGGACTTGATCTTTGAAAGAAAAAAAGCAAATAAAGAGCGCGCAATACGTGGAAAGAAAATGTGTAACTAAAAACATCTCTATGTGCTCGTGGAGAACCAGCGAGAACGACTCAGATTATTGAAAAGCAAATCAGAGGTTAAAGACACAACTTTAAGACAGCCAGAATGTCCAACGATAACATCAAGGAATTTAATAATGACTTAACAAAAGTAGACTCTAAAATCTCCTTCATGCAACATTAAATAAAGCGGCCAGTGATGACAGTCACCATGACCCGACGAAGCACGTTTCACTTTTGTGTGGAAATTAATCCCAAATTGCATTGGTTTCCTTCCTTCTCGCTCCGCTTTCTCCACCAATCAGATGCAAAACTAAAACCAATCGCGACTTGGTCACCAGCGTTTTCCCGCGCTTAAGGCAGTTCTCTTGTTTTCATGTTGAGTTCTCGTTGGCTCTTAGGGTATTTTGCTTCGCTCTGATTGGTCGTTGTGATTACTTTGGTTTTGGTTGAACGACACTTACTCGAAAAGCGCTCTTTTACCAAAGAGACATAGGAATATAAAAGATATCGCGTACCGATTGTAACAAGGTTATCGACTTTACAGTTCACTAGCTTGACGGTGGTAGGTCCCTCAATAGAATTGACCTTTAGCTCTAAGAACTTTGAAGTCTGAGGAGAGAAAGCATTTTATGACTGAAATATAATACAGAATTTTTAGCGTGGTTGAGTCTTTTTTCACATACAAAATAGTTGAACTGCTGAGAAACAAAAGGTATTTGCAACTCTACCAAACGATGCGAAATGCGGCAGCAATTTTCCCTCGCTACTTTTTCAAAGTCTGATCGTCCGCCCCGTAAGTGAAAAGAAATGGCCACACTTAGCTGTTGGAAGCTGTTTGTGGTCTACGCCTTTATGAGGTTGGGGAGCTTAACTCACCCTGTCTAGGTACATCATGGCATAATCCATTTGACCTTGTAGCATAAGATATCTTGCTCGCATCCAGTTTACTGCATGAAACAAAAGTGGCAACTAGGCTTATTTCAAAAAGTGTCTACGACTACAATGACATTTAACCCTTTGAACCCTAATTGAAGATGACACATAATTTCTCCCGACAGTATCACGCTTAAATCAAATATAAAAGTCGCGAGGATAAAGGAAATGATCACAAATCAAAGAAGAAGAACAAATTATCCCATTCAGCACCTTAGGAAATGTAAAGAAAATGCATACAGATGTATCAGGAGAAAAGAGAGACAAGTACTTCTAGTACATAATTTGAACTCAAGGGTAACTTGACTCTGATGATGCCTTTTCTTAATTAAAACATCAGTTAACGTTACCGTCAACAGTTCCAGTAAGGACTCTCCTCACAGGGGCGATCACATTACACAGGACCAGCTGTTTTCAGCCTTTCTACCCAAATTATTTTAGTTATGTTCACAGCCTATTTCTCCTCAAATAAAATTAGCAGCTTTCAAAGGAACACCATAATATCTTCACAAGTGATGCAACTACCTCTAATGGCCATTTCTAAAGTGAAGTCTCCATGAATGCTCTGATCACAGCTAATGCGGTGAAGATACTCCACATCTGTTGCCAAAT